AAACGGCTGGAGGAGATGGTGAGGGCGTACCACATCCCCAAGACCATATTGCTGCGGACAGGCGGGCAGAACGAAAGAGCGTGTACAGTGTCGCAAACGGGCTGGATACCAGTGTACGTGGACCACTTTGACGCCGGACTGCGATTTCCCCTGCCCGGATTGGTGTTCAACCTGCTGGCGGAGTACGAGCTGGCGCTGACGCAGCTAACGCCCAACAGTATAAGGTTCATCATGGGCTTTATGCTGTTGTGCGCGAGATTGGAGGTGCCAGCTAAAGCGATAGTGTTTAGGTCGCTATTCCAGTGCCGGTTGTGCCCGAACTCACAAGGAGCGAGATGGTACTACCTCTCTGGGAGGGATAAGAGCCAATTGTTCAAGAATGTCCGGAACAAAGTGGTGAGATGGAAGAGGTAGTTCGTATTTGTTCGCGACACGCGGACAGAGAGGATAAGCAACGACCTCGTTGCCCGGCTGTCAGAATGGCGAAATTCGAACGCCCACATCAACTATCCCCAGCTGCTGCCCCGGGATGTCGACCTGAAGAACTAGCTGCTTCAGTATGCGCAGGGGGAGGGTCTTATAGATTTAGAAGCCCTGGTTACCTCGGAGCAGCTCGCCGTGTTCGGGTTTGTCGATGTGACAAACCTGTTCAGCGAAGGTATATTTTCATTATATAACATGGATTCTAGCCGAGCTGAGGCTTATGCATTTTTTTGTGCAGGAGAAATGAGCAGCATCCTAGAGCGCCAACGACAATGTGCCCAAGCCTCACGAGGTCGCGGGGCTAGCAGCGGGCAACCCAGGCAGACGAGATTTGACGAGCGGCCACTCCCAGCGCCTCAGTCACGTGGCTCGTCACACAGGGGATCCAGCTCGTCGTTAAGGCCGCGAGCGGATCACAGAGCTGAGGTTGCAGCTCTGGGCGCGTGCAGACGTGCACGCGAGGGGACGGAGAGCGCAGAGGATGAGGTTCCCCTTGCTAGGCTCATAAGAAGCAGGGAGACTCAGCCCGCACATGCGGCTCGCCCTGTAACCGTGCGTTCTCCCGACGCACCGTCAGCGACTGTGCGGGCAGCAGCGGAGCCCGCCTCGGCATCAGCTTCATCCTCGGGCCCCAGGATTACTCATCCTGAGGGTTTCAGCTACACACGGGCGGAGTGCCAGCCCGCCATGGTGCAGGCCATGCACAATTTTGTGCCCCCGACAGATAATCGGCGGGCAAAAGCGTTCGTGCAGCAGCATGGCGGCCAGGTCGCCATGATCAAGCTGATGGATGTAAGCATTCGCTCATACTTCCATAAATGTTTTTTCTTGCTTTACTGGGTACTTACTATTGTTGCCGTTTGGCAGGCATTCAACTACGCTG